CAACCCCCAGAGGCAAAGAAGTTCTTTAGCACCGTGCGGAAAGAGATGGCTCTCCTGGCCACCTCCCTGCCTGATGGCATCATGGTTAAAACTTTTGAGGATCGAATGGCAAGTGTCTGCTCTCAAATGCTTGTGTGTTAGTGCTGGGCTCAGCATCCGGATTGCTTTCTTTGGAATTCCCTGCTTAGCCTTAATCCTCTGCATTAGAGCTGCAGGAATGTGTGCAGCATGTGAAATATGGCTGTAATTACCGTAAGCGGCTGCTTTTGCATTCCCCAAGTCAGGGTGACAGACAGAGGGGGGAGCTTCTCATTGCAGGAAGCCTGTTTTGGGTGCTTTGCCCGCTGGGCTGCCTGTCCCACTGAGCAGGAAAGGCAGGTGGGCAGGCAGCAAGGGGCTGATGTTAACCAGTGAGCGGCTTGGGGATTGCTGGCCGTCCTCTCAAGCCCCGCTTCAGATCTGAAGGTTTGGTCTGCCGTCAGGCCATAGTAGAAGTGCAGCTTCTAGGGGGAAGGTGCCCCGAGATGTGTTGCTTGAGCTGACTCTTGCAAGGGCTGAGTTCATCACAGCCCCTCTCTCCCTCTATGTAAATACAACCCTGCCGAGGTAGGAGGACTTGTCACAGTGCCTGGCTTATCTCTTCTCTCCACAGGATCTCTTCTCAGCACTTATAAAAGGGCCCACGCGCACGCCCTATGAAGATGGCCTCTTTCTCTTTGATATCCAGCTCCCCAACATCTCCCCCGCTGTCCCGCCTCTCTTCCGCTACCTCTCCCAGTGCAGTGGGAGACTGAATCCCAACCTGTACGACAACGGCAAAGTGTGTGTCAGCCTCCTGGGGACGTGGATAGGCAAGGTAATGCTTTCATCTGCTCGTCTGTGGGGAGCAGTGGTTGTGCCAGGCTGCTTTTGGAACAAGCCACTTCCTACTAGGCCAAGAGCCCTGGGTGGCTTCTGGTCTCAGGTGGTGCTTCAGCTGGGGATAGCTCTGGCTTTGGGCTCTGTTTTAGATGTCTGGAGCAGGTAGCTGGTGTAGTTTGGCTTCTTCTGGGACTGTATTTGGCTCTTGCCTGTCCTTCCTTGATGAGAACCCTGTGGTCAGACCAGCCGGGCTGTGGCACAGTTGGACAGAGCAGAGATGCCAACACCAGCATGGGGTGTTCTCCCGTGGTTTGAGTCCCTGTCTCCCACACTGCAGACAAATCATGTAGCATGGCACAAAGTCCAGCTGGAGACTTGGAATAAACAGAGCCAGGGAAATGCTGTGTTTTGGGCAGGTAGATCAACAGGGCAGCTGGGGAGGGGTTGGAACTGGTGTCTGGTGCGTAGGGTTACAGCGTTTCAGGCAGAACTGGCCTGATGGGGTGCAGTGTTGGCAAAAAGTAACGGATAGACGGGTTGGTACAATGGGACACCAGCACATCACGTGCTTGTTGAGTCAGTCCCTTGTTCCTGCTGCGAGCCACAGGACCTTAACGATAGGGGTGCAGAGAAACTGGGGCCCTCACTTCATCCAACAATTATCACAGAGCAAACTGATGGTGCTTTCAGCCCTTTAACATGCTTGTATGTGCATTTCAGGGGACGGAAAGGTGGACCAGTAAATCCAGCCTCCTTCAAGTACTCATCTCCATCCAAGGTAAATGCTTCTGCAGAGCCTGTGAGACAGGAAAAGGCGGAGGGAGGAGGGGATGCAGGCTTATGGGGGGCACGCAACTGGGATCTGCCACCCCAGTTGGGTTAGTGCTGCCTTTTGCTCTCACCTTGCTGGACAAAGCAGTGTCCTTATCTCTCCAGCAGTCAAAGCAGGTGCAAGCTTTTCTCATGCCCTGATTTTTTGGCTGCATCCCAGGTCTCTGACACAATCCCTTCTCACTGTGGCAGCTAAGCACAGAGCTGTCTTGCTTGTTATTCTGAGCTGACAAAGGTGAACGGCTGTGTCCTCAGCCAGTTACCGAAGTTAGTTGAAGTTGCTAAACTGAGCTTCATTTGCAGGACTGTTTTTTATCCCCACTGAGTCACCCGCCCATCCTACATTGGGCATGTTTTTCCACATGATGATGGTGTTTATGCTCCTTCTGAAGCAGAGAATAATCAGGGGTGTGTCTAGACCAGCCCCAGGGCTTCCTGCCATAGGGCTTTGCCATATCTAGTCTGAGAGCAGACAGACTAAATCAAATCTCTTCCTCAAGGCCAACTTTCTGTGCAGGGAGCCCGGGCATGTGACTTGAGAAACCTTTGACACAGAGCAAGTGCTCCTGCCTCGAGTCAGTAGGTGACTCCTGCTCCTCTGAAGTCTCGCAGTCCACCTGTATCCTCCTGGGGGGGAACGACACCACAAGAAAAGCTTTTCTTTTTTACAAAGCTGAGGATCCAAATTTAGAAAATGGAATACTAAATGTTTTACTGGAGCAACTTGGTGCTAGTGGAAAAACCTCTACCCCTCCTGCTGCCTGGGCTTTGAGAGACTCATGAGCTCACCTCCACCAGCGCTAATGCAGTTTGTGGCAGGCTGCCAGCAGCCTGGCAGTATTGGTGCCGTTGCTACATACGTGTAATTACGTTAGACCAGAAGCAAGCAGGAGAAAGCTTGGTATGGGTGACTTGTCACGGTATTCACTGTCTCAAAACTGCACCGTCTGATGGGACTATGCTGGGTAGGATAGGAGCTGGCTAGCTCAAAGCCTGTTACTGAAAATTGACCTTTGTTCTGATTAAGAGGAGGAGAAAAAAAAAACTTTAAGGAAAAAAAAAAGCTTTGGGTGTGTCTGTGGGTTTTTTGCTAGGAGGGGAGGGAAGGGAAAGGAGCTGTGAAACCTTTCCCCTTTTGACCTGCTCTGCTGTTGGGTGCCCTCTGCATCACACTGGTAGAAGACTATTCTTGGCAGCCAAGGATCTCGCATGCCACTCTCGGTATCGTGCAAGATCCCCACTGCCCTAGCAGAGGGCCACAGACCCATTCACACGAGTGCTCCCCTTGCAATACCAGTCCAGTGCATCTTGCAGGTTCTTGGTTGTCCAGCTTGGCCTCTGCTACCTGCTTGGAAGTCAAAGCACAGCTTCCCTGCAGTGCGTTCTCCTGCGGTCCCTTCCCTGCGCTGCCTGCTGCCAGCCTCGGGCTGCCTGCATCGATGTGGCTGCAGGGGACGCTGGTGTGATGCCTCAGCGAGGCGGTGCTGTGACCCTCGAACCTCAACCACCTAGGCAGAAATCAGTGCCCAGCAGTGTCTGCCTCAGGTGGCAATTCACGATAAAGTTCTTCCCTTAATCCCTTGGTCTCCCCTTCTCTTGGCAGGTCTCATCCTAGTGAATGAGCCCTACTACAACGAGGCGGGCTTTGACAGCGACCGGGGCCTCCAGGAGGGCTATGAGAACAGTCGCTGCTACAATGAGATGACCCTGATCCGGGTGGTGCAGTCCATGATGCAGCTGCTGCGCAGGCCGGTGGAAGTCTTTGAGCACGAAATCCGCGAGCATTTTCGCTGCAACGGCTGGCGCCTGGTGTCCCGCATCGAGTCCTGGCTGGAGACGAACGAGCTGGTGGAGCGGAGCCATGAACAGGCCAATGGGGCGGATTCTGCCTCCCTCCACTCTGCCTGCGGCACCCTGGCCGAGAGCCCAGGAGACAATGCGGGATCGCTGGGGGAGTACGGCAGCAGCTTGGAGCAGGGGGCGGCCGCTGAACTTTCCGACTCGGCGCTCGACGGGAAGGAGGAGCTGGACGAGTCGGAGTTCACAACCTCGACGCCCAATGCTGGTGATCTCCAACAGTACTCAGACTCGGAGAGCACAGGCCAAGCCAGGGGGGTAGACCTGGCCAGAGACCGAACGGACGAGGGGAAGGCTGCCCAGGACTCTGCCTTGCAGCCTAGTGTGAAACCAAAGAAAAGGAGAAAGAGCTA